ACAACCATGCACATGCACCGATTCCGGCCAGGCCCATCCTGAGCCCAGGATCGGTGCATGCGCCCTCCTACCTTGGCCAGGAAGGCACATGCACCGATCCCGGGTCAAGGATGGGCCTTGCCAGGATCGGTGCATGTGCATCGTTTTATGTCGGGCGCGTCCCCCTTCAGGGGGATCTTCGACGAAAAAGGAAAAATACACCAACAATGCCCCAAAAAGGTCAAAAATAATAAAAAAAAATTGTCCCCAGGCTATTTTTGCACTATTTCGGGATAGTTTTAGGGGGGTATCTTTTATGTTTCGTCGAAGATCCCCCCTGTCGGGGGACAGTCCGACTTCAGGGTAGGCTTCGCCGCTGGTCGCCGACGCGTGCCCCCACGGGCGCGGAGCGCACCGCCCGCGCGACGCACGGAGCACGGCGGGCGGCCCCACGCCGCGCGCGCCGGCCCGACCAGGGGGCCGAGGGCGAGGAGCGGCGAGCAGAGGCGAGGGGCAGATGCTCCACCACCACTGCCACGTGCAGGACGGGGGAGAGGGGAGGATGAGGTCCTCCTCCTCCTCCTCCTCCTCCTCCTCCTCCTCCTCCTCGTTCTCCTCCTCCTCCTCCTCCTGCTCCTCCTCCTCCTCGTCCTCCTCCTCCTCCTCCGCTGTTTCCGCTGTTTGCGGCGGCATGAGGGATCCGCTCCCTGAGCCGCAACCGAGGCGCCTCTGCGCCCGAGCCTAGCCGCGCGCGCGGCCGACACGCGGGCGCCCTCGGCGCCGGGGGAGGAGACCCCGCCCAAGGGGAGAGGAAAGGGCCTCCAGGATCTCCCAGGGCAGAGGAAGAGCGGGAGGGCGAGGCCCCAGTGACGCTAAAGGCCAGGCACCAGTGGACCCCGCAAGGAGGGAGGGAGAGGGCCTGCGCGGGTCCCAAGAAGAGGGAGCGGGGTCCAATGGCATGCATCTCGCCCTCTGGCCCGAGGCGCTGCCGCCCAGGATAGCAGCCTGGCCAGCTGCGTCACCTGTCCTGGGCGGCAGTGCCCAGGCCTTGGAGCACGGTGGGCCAGGGCTCGCCTGGCGTGCCACCCCCTTTACCCCCACAAGCACAGGGCCCGAACCAGGAAACCAAAAATGGAAGATGAGGCGGCTGGGGGTAATGGGGGTGGCACCAAATTATGTCCCTCGGGACCCCGACGACTCGGCCCCCTCACTGGGCCACGTCGGTGGTCCTTGGTCTTGTAGTAGAGCATGATTCTGTCGCCCTCGAGCTTGTGGTACTCGACTCAGTCATGCTGGTCGAAATTGTTGTTGACTCTGCTGTGCCCAACCCTGTGGCCCTCGTCCCAGTCACTAGTCATTCTGGTATGGCTTGACCCAGTAGCACTATCTGTTGTCCTCGACTCGGTAGTGCTGGTCCTCGCAATACGCTTTGTGACTGTGATGCCAAGCTTGTGGTGGGCCGTCGCTCTGATTGAAGCAGTGGCTGACTAGCTGGCCCCGACCCTGTGGTACTCGGCACCGTCGTGCTGGTCGAAGTGGCAGTACTTGTCTCGGTATGATGAGCTTCTCCATTCGCTCCATTCACTCCATTCAACTCGGCATCGCTAATCCAGTGGTCGTTTGGCTCGGTGATGGTAGGCTCTCTGTACTGGGCTCGGTCGCGCTGGTCGAGTGGAACTGTTTGACTGTGTGGGGCTCAGGCTCCTGGTGCTCGACTCAGCCGCTGAGGTACTTGTCGTGCTGGTTACAGGTCGTTGGGGATCGGCTTGTTGCTGGTAGGTGGAATAGGTTGTAGGCGCACTCAGGCCTCCATGCACCGACTTCAAGTAGGGTTCTTGGCGGCCCCACCTCGTCCCGCTATGGCTAGGGGTCACAGTGCCCTCGGTGGGGGCGAACCCCAGGCCCAGTGATTCTTCTGCTGTCGATGAGGAAGGTCTCGGCTGCCCTATGCTTCGCCCTTGGGCGCTCGGGAGCTCCATCTCCGCCTTGGGAATGGTGGGGGTGGCGAGCTAGGGCGGACCGCGGGGGCGCGGGCAGTGCTCGTCCTGCCCCCCCCCCCTGCCCCTCACCATCCCCCCTGGTAGGCGCGGGCAGTGCTCGTCCTGCCCCCCCCACCCTTCGAGCCCGTCTCGAAGGTTGATCCTTGCCTCACCAGGGCAGCGTTGACTCGTACTTGGTGTAGTTGGCATGTAGTCTGGCTGGTACCTCTGAGCCCTGGCTGCACGGCGGCCGTGTCCATCACTGCTGCGAAACGTGGCGACGCGTGCCTGGGGTGTTCCCTCGCATTCGGGGCTTCCCCAGGACTTGTGTCCTGACAACTCGTGCAAAACTTGGCGACGTAGCCTGAGGCATTCCCTCGCACTCGGGGCTTCCTCAGGACTTGCGTCCTGGCACTTTTGTACTTGTCGTCAGGGCACTTCGTCGCGATCCGCGTCGTCAGCCTGTGCTCGAACAGCTCCCGTCGAGTTGGTGGTCCTGCCCATTGCCTTGTCGGGTCGGTCCTGCAAGGCCCACTCCCTCGCCTCCTCCAACCAGGTCGGGGCGCTCCCTCGCCTCGCTGGGCCACGGTGGTAATCCTGACCCATCTCCCTGGTCTTGTAGCGGTCGAGCGGCTGGAAGAAGTGGGCCACGTCGTCGTCGATGTGCCATCCGTGGACGTCGCTAGGCGACTCGCCAAAGCGCCACCTTATCTGCTTCGCCAGTGCGGTCGCGATGGCCTGGCACAACCTGTTCGGGTACTCCTTGGCCGCCGCGGTGCGCCACTGGCCGTCGTCGTTGATGCCCGCCAGCTCCGCGTGGTAGGAGGCCGTGCGGAAGCACCTCCCGCCTCCAGGCAATCTGCTGATTTCTGCTCGGAGGGTTGGTAGGGATACCGCCAGCAGGCTTATGGACTTCCTCGAACGCGCTCCACAGGTGCACTGGTCGAATGTGATCAGCTCGACTCCCTGCTGGTCGAGGAGGTGGCGCGTCTCGGGGAGCCTCCAGGAGCTGGCGAAATGCTCCTCGGTGGGCTCGCACGGGTGCTCGAGCATGCCTGGGACTCCAAGGTTGAGGCACATGTACATGAGCTCCAGCTGTGTCCTGTATAGGCGATTGCCTATCGCTACTTGCTCCATCTCTGGACGGGAAAGGTAGCGAAGGCCCCACAAGCTGTTGCTGCTTCTTAGGGGTCTTGGTGGGCGACCCCTGCAGTCATCGGGGGGCAGGTGGCGCGCTCGGCTCCAGGTCTCGCACGGCGGTCCGCCGATGACTCCTGCAATCCTCCCTGCTTGTGCCATGCCTCGCCACTTGTTGACTGCGACTTCTGATGTCAGGTCGCCGAAGGTCGGGTCGTTGGCGATGTCCAGGCTGAGCATGTGTATGTCGCATGAAGCCCGACTGCTAATACGGTCGAACCAATCCTGAACATCTCCCTCTCGGCGACGGCCGCTGAACAGATGCAGCACGTATAGAGTCAGAGCTGGCCTGGGCCTGGGTACAGCAGCTGGCGGCGGCGGTGGCTCCTCGATGAACGGGAGCTCGAAGCTCTCGTAGTGGCCGCCATTGATGTCGTCGCTGTCCTCGTCCGTGTGTATTTCTGGAGGACGAGCAGGGACTGCAGGCTTCTCTGCCCAGTCGATGGGCCTGCCCGCCCTTCTGTTCGCCTGCTGCTGGTCGCGCACCACTTGCTGGTTGTGCTGCAGCTCGGCTTTGCTGAGGAGTGCTTGCTGGACGTGTCTTTCGCCAATGCCGAGCGCACCTGCGCACTCGCAGCAAGTGCTCGACCAGCCTGCTTGTGGTGTGGTAATCCATGCCGCATCCGTAGCAGACCGAACCAGTTGCCCACGAGATAGGATGCCCCGACGAGGTGTGGTCCTTGGTGATGTGGGCTCGTAGCACTGCTGCGCTGAGTTCAGTACGTCCGCAGTGGTAGCATAAGTACTTGCGCTGCTGCTCGAAGTGCTGGTCTGGGAAGGGCGAGATGGCTTCCGTGTTGGTCCACCGCTGGAGTCGTAGCCGCCATCGAGCGTGGTGGTCGTGATCGTGCTGGCGGGCTTTGCCACGTTGGCAAGCTTTCTTGGCTGCGCTGAGGTAGCTTTTGTAGTCGTTCCTGGCCCAGTCCTTCCAGTCTTCGAGCGTGTATGCTCCACCACGCTCGTCGGGTCCTGTGTGGTCGCGGACCCAGTCTAAGTCGCGGCGGAGCAGTGCCACCCAGCCGTAACTACCATCCCATGCTTGGCTGAGTAGTCGGCGGAGGTGCAGGGGTCCCCAGTTGAGGCATCTACCGAATAGTCGTAGCCGCTCAAGACGTAGGACTATCTCGGGGGGCAGCTTGTCGACCCCTTCGAGGATCTGGGTGTTCGTGACCTCCTTTTTCTGTCGTACTTTCCAAGTGATCCTCTGCGCGGCAGCGTAGTTCACGATATACTGGTTGTTGAAATTCCTGGCCTGGCCTGCTGTGAGTTCAGGCCAGGTAGACGCATTGTATAGCAGCTGGGATAGCACCACACTGTCGGCTAGGTAGGCCTTGTCTTTGATGGCCAGCTCTGAGCGACGGTGGACTTCGCGATGGAGAGGCCTCGTGGATGTCGCAGCGGTGGCTACCTTCACTGCGACATCCACCCCAGGGGATGCATTGTCGGTTACGTAGGTCCCGAGGAGCTTGTGGTGGCGGACAACCTCGACGTGGCTCCCTGCGAGAGGGACCTCGATCCTCGGCACTCCATTGGAATAGAAGCTGGCCCGAGCTTGCCGGCTCTCAGGCCCACTGAAGTCGATCATCACCTTGGTCTTGGTGAGCTGCAGCTGGAGACCGAAGGTGCTGGTGGCGCAGTAGACGGCTTCGCAGAACACCGTGGCCTCGGACTGAATGTGATCGGGGCTGGTGAACACGTGCATGCCCGTGAGGTCGTCGACGAACGATAGGCCGTGAGGTTCGTGCTCCTGGAGTGGTCCGTGTGTGGGGTCGGTGTCGCATGCGAAGCTGCTGTCTAGGGGCTTGCCCTGGGGTCTTAGCCCTCGCTGCGCAAGGTAGCTGTCAATCATGTGGTGGACTCGGCCGAAGAGCAGATTGAAGTCCGCGTCGGCACGCCAGGCCTCGTGCCCTTGTGCGGCGCCATGAGGTTCTGGGAGAACCTGTGCGATGTCCACCTGTTGCGGTGCCCTTCTGCAATGAGGGCAGCCAGGTGGGAGCCGTCCAACACTGTGTCGAGTATCCCTGGGTTGGCCATGAGGTGCTCCAATTGTGGCTGGGCCCAAAGGGGAACTTCGAGGTTGTCTAGCACCTCCTGGACTTCGTCCTCCTCGCCTGGGATGCCATGGACCAGCTGGACTACAACCGAGTAGAAGGCCTCCTTTAAGTCGTAGCAGCTGATCATGGAGCACTTCCCTTGGGCCTGGCTTCTCTCTGTGAAGAGGCGCGCTGCTAGGACCGCCATGTCAGCCCCTCGCTTGGGCCGGCCGCCAACCTGGATGTCCTCCAGCGCTATGGCGAGGGTAGTGTTGAGCATAGCCCTCAGGTATTTATGGTGGTGCTTGCCCAGGACGTTGTTTAAGAGGATCTCGCGGTACGCTAGGAGGTATCGTGGGTCGCCTTTTCCTCTGGGGATTGCGACCAGGCCCCCGCCCTTGAAGCTCAGCGGCTCCCGTACGGTGGTCGCCACCTTGGTGAAGAGGGGGTGCAGCAGCCTGGCTGCCTCTGTAGGAGCCGCCCTGAGGACGGCGTTCGCGAGCCCGTCAGGGCCTGCTTGCGCCCCAGCCTTGGCCGCAGCGAACTGGGCCTGGCAGACGGCCAGGGGCATCACCATGGAGAGATCCAGCATGCCGTCGAAGGGCCTGGTCTTGCTGTCATGATTATACTTGTTGGCGAGATCATCCGCTGTCACGTTCTTGCCCGCTTGTATCTTCGCGAAATGGTTGAGCTCCTGGTCCGCCATGTCCTGGGAGTTGTGGATCACCTCTCCATCCTTGTCGAGCCTCATCGGCTTTCCTGCTGGGAACTTCGCCTTCCTCCCGCCATGCCTTAATAGGTCGCGGTAGGCCTTCCACTGGACCGCAGCGTCGTTCGCAGCGGAGGCGGAGGACGCAGTTGAGGCAAGCCGGCTGAGGAAGGCACTACGGTCCTTCTCGACGGCCGAGGCAACGAGGAGCCCAGACCTGGTGAGGAAGGCAAGGATGGCCATGGCGTAGACCATGGGCGAGATCGTCCAGTTCAGGAGGAGGTGCGCGTAGTCGTGGATGTCGTGGATGGTGCCGTCGTCGTCGCCACGCTCTCTGCTCCACAGGGCCAGAAAGGCCCCGACCTCGCCTCCAAGAAGAAAGTGGGCGTGGGCTACTAGTCGTCCAGGTCGGTCGTCATGGGCTTCTCCTCTGAGCACTGCGCGATGGACTCGAAGTGTGAGGCGCCTGGCTCGGATTAGGCCCATGGTAGTCTTGGTGACGTAGGGCTTCCTCGCTGCCTTGACGGCCTTGCCGAAGGCCTGGATGGCCGCGTTGTTGACGACTCTGGTGACCTCCTCGCAGTGGGTGTCGACGTCCACCTCCCAGGGGATGATCGGGGCCTGCTTGAGAATCTCCTTAAAGCTGGCCTTGGCGACATCGTTGTTTAAGTTGGTCAGATCGGGCCGCGGTCATGAGGCCTTGGTGGTCTTGCAGACGGCCCACTTGAGGGTGGCGAGTACTGGTATGTGGTCTTGTGCAGCTGTGCCTCGGTCAAGACCTGGCTCCGTGCTGCAGCTCGCAACGTACGGGGCGGTCGAGGGGCTCAGCAGGATGTAGTCTATCCTGTGGCGCTGCCCCTTCGATCCGATATGCGTAAACGAGTTGTTGCCTGGATCCTTCGTGGTGTTGATGACTTCCATGTCGGTGTCGGCTGCGAAGCTGATGATGTGCTTGCCATTGCCGTTGGTCGCTTCTGGGTACCCACTGGTGCCAACTCCTGGGGACTCATAGTCGCCGAGACGCCCGTTCAGGTCCCCCATGAAGATGTCCACGCGGTACTTGGCAGACAATCGCTGAGCAGACTCCCAGAATTCTGTCTTCTCAGCCGCCTGGGAGTCTTCGTGGGGTGCATATGCGGAGGCGATGACCATGTCTGTGCCTGCAACGCGGGTCTTGATGATCAAGAGCCTATCGTGCTGGTGGAGGACGAGGGTGTCTTTGGCACTTAGGTACTTCGCTGCCCCACTCACGCTGATCGGCTGGGAGACGTTGAGCCAAATGTCGCATCCTCTGTTCTGCTGCGCGTGGCCTGAGGAGTAGCAAACATATTCTCCAACGTTGCGGACGTCTCCTTCGCTCTGCGTCTCCTGGAGGGCCACGACGTGCAGGCCCATGTCAGCAAACTGTGCTGCTAGGTGCGTAACCTTGGAGATGCTCTGCTTGCTTTTACTGGCCGCCTTGCCTTTGCCCGACTTGAAGCTGACGGCGGCCTTGAGTGATCTGCAGTTGTAGGTGCACAAATTCAAGCTGAGGTCGGCCTTGATGGTGGTGGTGCTGATGGGCCTCTGGATCGCACATGGGGCTGCCTGCGGCTGAGTGGCCCCGATGATGAAGTCTTGGTTCCGCATGGGAGGGTGTGCGGCCTTGGCCGCATCTGGCGCTGAGCGTAACCATTCCCAGGAAAGGACCTTGTTGTGCGCGATCGCCTGCACTGCTGCAATATTCGGGTCCATCAGGACGTGGCGAGCTTGATTGCTTTTTTTGTCTGTTAAATGGTTTTTTTTTTTTATCTATTTAAATGTGCGGTCTGACTGAGCTTTATTTCTTTTTTTTATGCTAATTAAATTTTTTTTTACTAATATGGGTTCATTATTATATTAAAGTCGAAATTTTAAAAAGAATACTTTTTCATCCCGCTGCGAGCTCATTCCAAGGGTGGCCAATGTGCGAGTTAATGTGATGCCACTGAGTAGGTCGGGCTTGTTGGAGGAGGCCAGCAAGCGTGCGAACGGCGGCCCCCAACCTCGGATGTACATGGCATTGGGCGTCGCCGTTGGCCAGGTTGATTACGTTGAGGGCGTCGGGCGTGACCTCGATGGGCGCGGCGGTGTCTTGACCAAGGGCCCACATTAGTGCCCAAAGTACTGCCGTGAGCTCAGCTGTGTATGCCGTCACCTTCTCGTTGTTTGCCATGTCGTCTAGGGACTCGGTGACCTTGCCAGCAATGAAACCCCGAAAGCCAAACGGGCCTCGTGAGTTGCGCCCGTCGTCGTACTCGTCGACAATAACTACTGCCCAGGCGGCTGTATGTGGGATGCCGTTGTAGCTGCCGTCCGTGTAGATGTGTGTGCGCCTAGTCGGCAGCTCGCGTGATGGGCACATCTCCGGCGCCAGCCTTGCCATGTTGTGTAGGGTCGTGGTGTCGACGTCGGCGCAGACATTGACGCGGCCTCGGCCACGAAGGGTCTCGGCTACTGGGTCTTGGCTGAGAACTGGCAGCACTGCAGGTTGGCCTTTGTCTGGTGCTGCCGTGGTGGGGGGCTGCCGTTGCCTTCGGCCGCGCCTGGCCCTCTCAGCACGCACGTACTCGGGGGAGTACTCGACGTCATCGTCTGGCACAAGTTCCATGCCATGTAGAGTGGGACATTGTGTGCTGGTAATGCGGGCTGGAGGTGGCTGTGATGGCGCGGAGCGGGTAGGCGGGGCTAGAGGTAGGGCCCCAGCCTGAGGCGCACTCCGCTTCACGGGTAGTGGTGGTGGCAGTTGGCTCCCCTCATCGAAGTTCAAGTTGTCCGATCCAGCCCGCGCGGCCTGACTGAACAGGGGCTCGTGTGATCGGGCGTGGAGCATGCTGTCACGTAGACGATGAGGTTCGCCATCCATGGCGTCTGGGTGATTGGTGGCACCCGTGCCGTGGTGGGAGCGAGCTGATGCCGAGGGGAGCGTTGGCTTCCACCTGTTTGGCCGTGGTGAGCTGTTTGGGTCCGTCGGGACTGGGGCCACTGGTGATGCTGGGTAAGCTTGAATGTCGCTGGGCCTGGTTGGACTCCCCAACACGACATCGCTGGCGCGAGGGCACGGCTTCGACCACCCTCCCGTCGGAGGCATGCCCTCACGCCTACGCACCTGTAAGGGGGATTGATCCCGCAGCTGCTCTACCCGCTGGGGAGCAGGTCCGCCCGTCGGCGGCCTTACAGTGTGAGGCGACCCCGCGCTAGCGCGCCAGCTTGGGCAGGCCCTAGTAGGCACTGTGTGCTGCTCGGGCTCAGCTAGGTCTTCAGGTTGCCCAGTTGGTGGGTGTTGGGGCTTGGTGCGCTGGGCTGGCGTAAGGGTGTCGGTTGGGGCAGGATTGGCTTCTACATCGGGCAGTGCTGTGGCCGTGGGTGGGATGCTGTCTGTGCTGCTGCTCGGTGGTGGCCGAGTCGTTGGTCTCCACCCTGTGCTACTGCCAGTGTAGCTGCTGTTGGGGTCCTGCCTCGAGTGCC